CGCGGATGTTGACACTATGGTGCGATTCCTGCCGCGTGGTTTAGATGACGAATCCGCATTCAATATCAACTTGAAGAGAAAAATTATTCATAAATCGTCATACATCAGCGGATTTCTGAAAAAATCATCAGTGTGGAGATGGCCACAATATTTGGTCGAGCGACCCCTCTACAAGCTTTACAATATCAAGGTGGATTGTGGTGTCTTCAAGGATTCCCTCATCGGAGCTGATTCCATAGCTGATGACGGTATAGAACACCTGGATCCTAGCGATGCATTTGAGTCCGAATCGATTAATTTACGGCAACATACTATGATGTGGATTGCAGAGCACTGCCTGAATAATTTTCTCTTTATGTTCGATCATACTCTCTTGAATACCTCCATACACCCTTTGAAAGAGGTTAGGAAGACGTTTTCACGCCTCCATTACGGTAGTGTCCATGACACTACCACTGTGACTTTTTGTCTCCCGAGCCACTCGGCGACGCCGAGGCCGCTTGAAAACGAGCAAGTCTTCGTACGCCTTGAAGGCAGACTCATTCTTGGTCAAACTCGCCGAGAACCAGACGCTGCTTGCCCGACCGCTGACTGATGCCATGTCTTACCTCGCCGAGACTCGCGCCCTGCTCGACCCCAAGGTCCTGGCTGAGCGCCTTTCAGACATGGCCAAAGCTCTGATCGTCAGCACCAAGCTCAACGAAGCAGCACGCATCGAGTTGGCGTGCTACGCCTTCCGAGTTCCGGTTTCTGCGGCTAACAAGGGAAGCGCCCGAGCTGACCTTCGAAGTTCGCAACCAATTTTACACCAAATTGTCGTCACGGTCTCCAGATGCAATAACCGGTTTTAGAAACCGTGAAAGGTTCCCGGAAAAGATTTTTAGCGGAGCTGTGGATACACTAGCAGCCAGAATACCATCATGGTACGGGTTCTAATGGCACGATGCTTAGTGCAGAGGAGTCAAGCGTATAGCCGCCAAGTTCGATACCCGCAGCCTCCTTCTTTTTTCCCCTAAGGGGAACGTGAACCTTCAAACTTCTAGATTGCTGTTGAGCTTTCCATGTGCAGAGAATTAGGTTTTGTCCGGACAATGTAGAGAACAAGCTCGAAACGGATGGATTTCGCGCTGGGGATCTTCCGATGGTGGGATAGCCGAGTGGGTAGAGCGGTCCGCACGTTTCGCACAGATTCGCACTATTCACGCTGACGTTTCATCGTGCGGCAGGCAGCATGGCTTCGACCCCTGCAGCCATCTCCTCCAAGGACGGTTTTCAAGGTTTCGATCCTTCTTGGGCGAATGCCGAAATAGCTCTCGGCTCTCGGACAGTGGCCTACAAAATCTCGGTACGGAACCCACCGCAACACAGAGGGGTCTCTCACCGGAAGCCGAGTGAAGGGATACAGAGGAAAAGAAAAATATTTGGAAGGTGAAGAGAATGTCGGGGAATGATCCACCCACGCCTCAAGGTGGGGGACTGATATATCAAGGGGCGCGGAGGCTGACCGGAGGCCGTGGGTCACAGGCTCTTCCTCCCACGCGGCAACTTCTCGCGGGCAAATCCAAAACGAAACGTGGACCTATCTTCGAAAATTCGGAAAACCCTTAGGTTCGAAATTTGAATCATGCGAATTCCTTGTTTGGAACTGTGGCTTGCAAAAAAAATATGGTCATGGCAGCGAACGTGTTGTCGGTCGTGATTGCACACTTCCGGGGGCAGGCCCAGGTCTCCCAGGCCGAGTTCGTAGCGAGCTTGATGTCCTCGAGTGCAACTCGGCAAGACAGGAAACTGGCGCAGAGAATCATTTGGTTGATCGAGAATCGAAATGCCGAACAGGAAGACATGAATTCAGAAAACGACGAGTCGTCAGGCAGCCCAGGTGAAGATCAAGATGTCTTCGAGCCCGAAGTGTGGTCGGCGGAAGACACGCCAGTCCCCTCGACATCCACCCCAGGTGGCTTCATTCGTTTGAGCGGATCGAGGAGTGTGAGCCCCTCCAAAGCTCGTGAAATTGCTGTACAGCAAGACCTCGCTTATCGCGGTCAATCGGTTCCGGAGGCTTCCGCGATAAGTGGGAATCCGCGAAGAAGGATTCGGTAATCCTGGGGAGTGGTATTCCGACTTGGAGCTTCAACGCTCTCAGCTAATAGGGGACGATTATTGTTCAAAAAGAGTTATGCTTTACTTCATGAATAACCAGTCTCTGTGGTAAGCTACCATGTCACAATGCACAATTCTTGAGACAGTAGGCTTCACAGACTGCATATAAATTAGGGCTCCTTCTATCAGTCCAACTCTATTATTCCCGACAAGTGAGGACGGCTGGAGGACGTGGGATCTTTGCTGTGCTGGCTTAAAAACATCGTGATAGGGAGTTGGCTGTACTGTCGCTTCACTTCTGCCGGAAGAAGTCGATAAGGTTCTACGGCAGAATCAAGAGCATTTCGCCCTCTGAGACCGCGTGACATCTCGGGATCCCAGCGGTCAATCATCTGCTTCAACTCTTCTGTGCTCCTTAAAAGTTGTGAAAGACGCTCCGACGTGAGCCCTTCGTCCACAACTTGTTCAGTAGAAACTCGATCCGCTTCTCCCTCTCTGTCTTCATCTACACCAAGATGTTCAGATACTTCGAGTATGTCTTCATCAGATAGGAAACACTTCTGCGTCTCCAGAAACTCATCAAGATCGCCAGAACTCATGTTAGAGAATCCAGGTCCCCCGAGTCTTTGAGCTAGCTGCACGCTCTCATCAATGACTGACTCACAAACAGTCTGTGGAGCATTAGTTGAGTCAACTTCCACAAGATCAGGCCACAGCTTTTTCCAGCTTGCCTTCACAGTCTCGGCTTTCATTCCGCTCAAAGCTCCCTGGATCATCTCTAAACAAACTGCGATGGTGAAACTTCGCCAGTATTCTTTCATGGAGAAACATTCTTCGACATCCATGCCCCTCACGAGATGCTGGAGGACGCTGCGGGTATACAATGCTTTGAAGGCGCGGATAACGCCTTGATCCATTGGTTGAATTAGTGAAGTGGTGTTTGGAGGGAGAAACTCGACTCTAACCCCAGCATACTCCAGGTCTTGAGCATGACCTCCCGCGTTGTCCATCAGGAGAAGGACTTTGAACTCCAAAGGCTTTCCAGCAAGGTATGATTTGACTTGAGGGATGAAGCATTCATGGAACCAATCCGACGATAACTGCTTCGTTATCCAACTCTTTTGATTATGCATCCAATGAACCGGAAGCGAATTCTTATCTTTGTTCTTCAGCGCCCTCGGGTTTCTCGATTTGTAGATGAGTGCGGGTTTGAGCAGGAAACCTTCGGCGTTTCCACACATTATCAAAGTTAGGCGATCCTTGTGAGCTTTCGGGCCCGAAACCTCCATTTCATCCCTGAAGATGTAGGTCCGAGATGGGAGTCTCTTCCAGAATGATAGGAATTTCCGTGAGTGGAAACTTCACTAGATCAGTCGGGATACCAGGAGGAGGACAGAATTCAGACTTCAGAATGACGAGGATGCCTTCTGTGTGGTCACAGAGCAGAGAGTATCTCTATCCATTTATTCGTTGAATATATAGGATGATATCTGTGTCAAGGATCCAGTAAGCAGAGAGAGTGAACGTCCTAGATTTACATCCGGAATTTACTGAGTTTTAGAACTAGGTCCCTGAACTAGAAAGGTGTCTGATTGTGTCCATTTAGCATCTGGACAAGATATATGCGTCGGAGGTTTCTGACAAACAAGAATAGAGTTCGGGGAACTCCATATTCCAGCATATCCCCCCTGTTTGAAGAAACATCAGATTTTGAAAATTCTGGATCGTTGAGATTGATTAAGAAGAGGTGCGGTGATTCCCTTTGATGGTTGTAGCCGAAGGTTGAGCATTCCATTCGACTCCTTCGAGAAGGTTCCATCGTTGATAGGTGTACGCTCCTTGGCTTGACCGGAACGTTCGATAAGTTGAAGACGTGCAGCACATGCACGGAAAGTTCTAGAACTCGAGAGAAAGGGGAAACCGGAGGTTTCCTCGTGAATTGAAACCGTACAGAGAGTGACTTCGTGTTCCGCTGTGCCCGAGTAAGCACGCAGTGAATCAGTTTGACTGAATCAAGCAGTTTATCAGCTGAGCAATTCCTCCAGCCTCCAAGGTATTTTGTTTAGGCTCTTGATTCATTCATAAGGGCGAATAAGAGCGGTTATTTCGTGACACTTCAATGATTTTTTTGTTATATCCAATGACTTGCACGTTACATTCCGTCAGTAGGATCCGGTTAAGGATGCCACTCAACGAGCATGAACAACAAGTGCTGGATCTGATCAGAGCAAGAGGGAATTCCCCAAGCAGTTCCCATCAACCGGAAACTGAGAAATTGATTGACATGGGCTCCACGTGCTCGTCGGTGCATGAGACGGAACAGGACGCATCTCAGAGGTGGATCCCGTCCAAGTCGATCCGACTCCCAACCAGTCTGATGGTCACCGAGGTGACGCCACGGATGGAGCAAAGAGTGCGCCGTTTGATCGAAGCAGTCGACCAGGAGTGTCCCACAATGAGGCTGAGACAAATCGGTTAGAAACGATTTCCACCTTACTGACGTTGCTGCACACGCTGAAATCGCGTCCAAGATGGTATCGAGTAACAATCCTCTCTCTGGGATTCATGACCGTTATCGGCATTTTCACGTTAACAGGCGCCAACTATCTGCTGCAGCAAGAGAACAGGGAGCCCGTCACGTCTCATATCGCAGAGTTGTTCGAGAGATTGATGAGATCTTCTCAGCTAGTAAATGTGACTCATCCTCCGCGAGGAGTGCCGGCAGAAAGTCCGCCAGTTTTACCCGTCGAAAAGGCCGTTCCTAAGGGGGTGCTTACGATCCCATTTGTTAATTTCGACTGTGAGGACTTTCCAAAGTTTTCCTTGTGTTCAAGTCCTGTCGATGATACCTGCGTGGTAGTTCTGTCAGTCTTCCCCGCATCACGAAGGATCAAGGTTGCATTGCTTGATATTGATTTAAGTTTGGAAGGCGAGACAGGAAAAAAGGCTTTCGCTAGGAAATGTGCTCACCGTGATCAAATTTATAGATTCTTATCGGCGTAAAAAAAAATTTGTGTTTTTTGCTGCTACCCTTCTTAATAATATCTCTGAGAAATTTGAGTTCAAGAGACGTTATCGATATCATTTGTTGTTTCTTGATATATATCGTGAGAGATAGGCATTCGTGCGTAGTCTGAGCTCGCGTTGAGACGTTTCTTTAGAATGGGATAGAGATGAGCAAGTATGCTCAGAGAGGAGATAATTCCGAGAGCAATTGTCAGAAAGAGAAGGATGTCTCTTTCTTTCGATAGAGTGTTGGGCTCGTGTGTCGTAGTGGTGTGTGTGCTCGTAGTTGTTTCGGGAGAGGGAATGGCTGTCGTCGTTGGAGAAGTCCTATTCATGAATTTCGCGAATCATTCCAGATTTTGCCTCCGCCGATTGGAGGCAGTCCCGGCCTGAGACACACTTGAGTCTCTGAAGCGAGCGCCTCACACTGAGAGAATTGATCCAGACATTCGCATGGGAAATACGTCGGGTTGATTTCGCTGATCATGCAGCTCTTGTTTTGTCGTCTGCAGTCGTCGAAGCAATCTCCATAGGAGAAGTAGTCAGCTGTTGCGTGTTCGAGTAGAACGATGAATATGATTGAGCTGATCATGTTGGGGGATATCT